GGCCACACATTGTTTTATTTAGAAAACGTAAACACGCGAAAGGATACAGGTGACTTATTTGGCCATAGATATAATCGCCAAATAGGTTTGTGTTGTTTTTTTTAGGCTTTTGAGCATATAAGCGTAGCCATCTCTTTATAATAATAAGAACAAAATGTTTTATAATGGTTTTAATTTAAAGAACATTCTTTGCGGTAAAAAAATAATAGGAACTAAGGAACTAACTCTGTTGATAGGGTAAATTCCTGCTTTTTCAAATCCACTTCTTAAATTTTCCCTGCCTGGTTCTAATCAGGTGACGAAATCATATAACGTCATCTAAGTCGATGTAAGTGACGTAATCATATAACGTCACTTTGGATAGGGAGACAAAAACGTCATTGTGAGGTTATGTGTGTGACGTCAGCTAGTGCCTAATTATCAACTAAATAGAACCGAATTTTCGTGACGAATGCAGTTCATCCAAGGACGAACCATAGTTCGTCTGTGACGTCATGAGTTTGAACGCTGGCTAGAAGCTACGTCCATGCTTTTGTCGAACTATGTTCAATATGACGTCATGAGTTTCTCGCGAAAGTGTTTGTGTTCATGAAATCATGGAAGTAGTTCGTCGCGAAAATTCGGTTTATGTTGAACATGTTGTGGCCAAAGTCAGACCAATAATAAAGATTTTCTATTTGGCGACTTTGGCCGCCCTCTAGCGGTACAACCTGCAATCCTATCTTTGCAGCGACCGCTCATAAACTTTCTTCAAGGTTGTATGAAGTTGCACTTTCACCTGAAAATCTTAAATGTCGTCTAGTTATTCACCCATGAGTAAAGTTTTTGAAGGCAAAAATTGCTCGTTTTTTATTATTATAGGTAATGAAGGTAGATCGAACGTTTCTATAGCAAACCTTTGAAAAGGTAGACGCATCATAAACATCATTTTATGCACGCTGCAGCGTGCGATAATCATTGATTATGATGCATGCGTAATAAAAAACAAATTGTGTGCTGTAAATAATTTTTTTTCCGTCCAATATGATCTATAGAAACATTAAAAAATCACATTTGGAAAATAATTATTATTATAACGTAATTGTGCATGAATAAAACAAATAGGTATTGAAAAATGGCCAAAGTCAACCCTAGTGGCTAAAGTCACCCAACTTTACGGTACATTAATTAGCATTCAAAAACAAACATTTCGTTGAAATATTTTCTTCATCTTCATCTCTACATATTATGTCATCAATCATAAATTTGAATTCTTAACTACGACCGCTGGCGCAAATAGTCGTTGGCATTATTGATGACGTTGACAACGGTGCTACACCATATCATGTTGATGCGACAAATCGAGGCCGATGAGCAATCCTGTATCCTGTGGTAGTGTTTATTATCCTTGCTGAAACCGGTCATGCGATTGTACTGTTTTCAGAGCAAATTGTACTGTTTTCTGTCGTAGGAAGTTTGAAATAAAACATGCTGTTAGCCATAGCTGTAATCCTTCCACACAAGGAGGGGCTCCGGAACAGCTCCGTGGCGTTTCGCGTGTTTGTTGCACCCGAAATGCTCAAGCCCCAATCCCTCCCTTTGGTCCTTTCCTCTCACACACCATCTCACGAGCGGTTCCTTTCAAAGCGGGGTAGGGTCGAGTAAGAGTGCTAATGTTTCAAGCTCTCGAAAGAAATACAGTTATTGCGTTTTTTCTAGCTCTGTACCAGCTGGACATTCGATTTTATTTAATACGAAATACGAACCAAACCAGCAAGAAAAATCCATGGGTTATGTTGTACAATGCAAGCGATTTTTTCGCAAGACGAGATCAGACGAGACGAGACGAGACTTTCTACGACTCTCGTCTCGTCTCGAGTTAATCTCGAGGTCGAGACGAGACGAGATTGATGCTCAGGCGAGACGAGACGAGATCAACCCCTAATCTCGTCTCGTCTCGTCTCGCGGCATCACTAGTTGCAATTCGCCCTAGGAGATAATTGTCTTTTGTTTTGGGAAATTTTTACACATGTTAATACTGTCCCTGATAATCCAGTGTGACGTCACAAACACCTAGTTGTAACTTTAAACCGCCCTAACTCGAAAACGGACTATCGTAGCAAGATGCGGTTTAAATATTTATTCTTAGATTTTTTGCACCAAAACTTTTTTTTTAGGTCACGCCGCCTTTAACAACGTAAGTAAAAATAAATGTTCGAAAACTCATATTGTTGATAATTCATAACCTGCGCCGCCCCTTGAAGAAAATCCTGGATCCGCCCCTGAGTTATTGTTGGCATAATTCGATTGTCGTCTGTCGAATACCACCAAGTCTAATATCCTGGTTGATTTTTCATTCAAAACATTTTGGCTTTTGATTTGTTCGAGAATTTTTGTAGAGGCAATCAAGAGCCGGTACCTAATAGCAATTCATTGGATTTTTTTTCTCAAATTAAACATACAGAAACAACAATTTCAAAAAAAGTTAATTTCATTTGCAGAAGATCAGTTCTTCTCTTGTTCACTCTTTCCTTGAGGTAAATTCTTATACAGGGTGTCACGAAAGGTTTGTTATAAACTTCCAGGGATGGTAGATCTCGTAAAAATTAAGTTTTTTTTTAATAAACATATCTCCGGAAATGCTTCGTCTTTCCAGATACAAGGTGTTAGACTTTGTAAAAAAAAAACATTTTTTTAATTAATTCTTAAAAATGCGTTGGACGAATTAAATAATTTTTTCACAGTTTGTTGACACCTTTATGGGGTATCTTTTGGACTGCTCAGAGTTGACCCAGTAATTTCAGAGGCGTGCCCACAGGTCATGTCATGTCGGATGGTTATTTGCACGAAAAACATCGCCAAGTAGATTTATTTTCAATGAGGATATGTTTTTTGAATGAAACAGTCAAAGATACACCTTTTTTGTCTCCTCATTTTTTTCCGTATGCTGCTTTGTTTTCGAGATAAAATCCAAAAACTATTTTAGGCGAACCACGAACGTCACTGACCTCCATAAATAAAAAATATATTGCCTCAGAATCACCTGAAATTTTACCAGCCTATTTGTTGCTTAAAAATAAACAAAAAATAACAGAAAACTTTTTTTCTAAAACGCGCGCATTTCTTAGAATTAATAATAAGATTGAAATTTTTTTTACAAAGTTTGACAACCTGTACCTATCTGGAAAACGGAGCATTTCCGTACACATGTTTATTTAAAAAAAAAGCTTAATTATTACGAGATCTACCATCCCTAGAAGTTTGTAACAAACCTTTCGTGACACCCTGTATAGTAGGAGAGCCAGTGACATTTTTTCAGTGATCATTTAGGTATGAACTATTTTTTTTTTTGGGAGAATGTTTTGCGGCGTATATCCTTCATCCTGTATAACTTTCAAGTATTCACTCAATTCAAATTTCAAAAAAGTTTTTTTTTTTTTTAAACAAATAAAAATACCTAGTGATGAAACGATTGCGATTACGATTAACCTGCGATTATCAAGTTTTCACGATTAACCGTAATCGCCGATTATCTTTATACGATTTTACGATCATACGATTGTTATTATTTGCAAATTGGCCCTCAAATACTCAAACTTATATAAAATCACTCAATTTATAATATTGGCTTTTTATTCAATTTTTATTGTAATAAAATTGGGTTTATAGATTTTCAATTATTTTTCTAATGAAAATTATTTAAACAAACTGTATTTTGATTCGCAGCAACTAATTTTTTAGTAAAAAATTCTTCAGCGGAAATATTCGGTAATTCCATATAAGTTTGAGTGAGTGTACCTATCCTACAAGCCATCTTCTGTAGATTCAGAACTATTATTTTCTACAGCAGGACTAATTCAGATTTCAGGCTCCTAAAAAATATCGACTGAGTCCACAAAATTTTAAAATTTTATGCTTCCTTAATCAGAGCTTAAATAGTATTATTTTAACTATGGATATTGATAAATAATAATCAATATAAAACTGTTTCCTGAATAATCGTAACCGCAATCGTAATCGTCTAACTTTAATCGTTTCATCACTAAATAAAAGGCATCGTATAAGTAGGTAGGTACTCTTTGTTTCACGAGGGTTTGTACTTTTGACATATCTGCCTTCCTTTATTAACAAATAAAATTTGACTGAAACAAATCAATTTGTTTCAGTCAAATTTTACTTCTTAAAAAAGGAAGGCAAATGAAGTCAAAAGTACAAACCCTCGTGAAACAAACATTAGGTACGTATATTATTAACAGGAGCTAGTAAACAAACATCTACGTATGCCCTATACAAGAATAAATTTAGGCATAGTTATATGTATTTAAATTGAAGAAGTAGTCCATCTTTCAAAGTGGAGTTGAAATTTAAATCCAAAATACTTGTGTTTTTGGAATACTTATTTTTATTCGCATGTTTACAACAAATATAAGGTTTCTTGTTAGCTATAACAAATATCAATAATATAGTCGGGAGGAGAATGGACATGCCTCCTTCCATAGCCAATAAATGGGAATTTTCTCGAATCATTAAAACCCTTAAAAAAATTTACCCTTAGAAGTATTCCTCAATTTATCATAAATCCCTTATAAAAGACAATAAAATTGGTTTCTCGCACCAAATCAAATCAAAAATAAAAAGAAATTTTGTCCTGCTTCTGCACTGCTGCCCACCTTTAAAAACATTTATTATCCAGAACACGCAGTGGAATGTCATGGGACATGGTCTCTTATCCATTTCCCACATTCCTTTTTTATATTCTTTTTGGTAGGTTTCCTCGCATATAGGAAAAATATTATAGAAACTTGAGGACTGAATATAAATGTCGTAGTTTTTGTCAGAAATTTACATATTTTGATTAAATTCACCATGCCCGTTCCACCGAAATCCGATTTTATGTATGAGGTGTATGCCCTCATAAACGGCCTCAAAAACCCAGATTAAAATTGAGAATGTTTTAATCAAAATTCATTTAATTATTCCACATCGACCTGTAATGTAAATTCAAAATAAAACCCATCCAATTAGTTTATAATACATAGTTTATTTTTGTAACATTAATTTTCTACAAATAAATCCTATATCTACTTGTAATCTAGATAGTTTGAATAATAATATAATGCATATTTTGCAGAAAATAAGAAGAAATTCAAAAAAAGGGGCACCTACAAATACTTTCAGCTACATGATATATCAATATCATATGCCCACTGACTTAAATAATAATATAATAGAATAAAAAATATGTATATTCACAACACATCTTAAGATGGTGATCCTGGTGAATAACTCGGACTTGTTGGAGTATAGGTAGGGGAAGTGGGTGAATACTTGGTACTTTGAGGAGAATATTGCGGTGAAGTAGGAGAATAATTAGGAGACGATGGGGAATATTTTGAACTGCCTGGTGTATGTTGAGGACTGCTTGGAGAATAGCTAGGACTCGTGGGTGAATAATTTGGTGAAGCTGGAGAATATTGAGGCGAAGAAGGCGAATAACTTGGTGAAGCAGGAGAATAATTTGGGGAAGCTGGTGAATAGCTCGGGCTTGTGGGTGAATAACTCGGAGAAGTTGGTGAATATTGTGGCGAAGTTGGAGAATATCTTGGTGAAGATGGAGAGTAACTTGGAGAGGCCGGGGTGTATCTAGGAGAAGAAGGAGCATAACTCGGACTTGTTGGGCTGTAAGAGGGTGAAGTGGGTGAATAACTTGGACTTGTAGGCGAATAGCTTGGACTTGTTGGACTGTAAGAAGGTGAAGTAGGTGAATAACTTGGGCTTGTGGGCGAATAACTAGGACTTGTTGGACTGTAAGACGGAGACGTAGGAGAATAGCTAGGACTCGTAGGAGAATAACTAGGACTCGTAGGCGAATAGCTTGGACTTGTTGGTGAATAACTAGGACTTGTTGGAGAGTAACTTGGACTTGTTGGACTGTAAGAAGGCGATGTAGGCGAATAACTCGGTGAAGTAGGACTGTAAGATGGCGAAGTAGGCGAATAACTCGGACTAGTCGGCGAGTAGCTAGGACTTGTAGGCGAGTACCTAGGACTAGCAGGAGAATATGACGGAGAAGTTGGTGAATAATGAGGACTTGTCGGCGAATAACCAGGACTGCTAGGCCCATAACCAGGACTCGTGGGAGCATAGCCTGGTGAAGTAGGAGAATATACTGGTGAAGCAGGAGTCATGGATGGAGACGTGGGGTGGAAGGCGGGACTGGATGAACAGTATCCAGGAGACTGGCCAAACGTAGACATTGCCGGCGAGTGCGGCGCTGGTGACCAAGCACCATAAGCTGGAGACATGCCGGATGCATCCGAAGCCGCTGAAGGTGAAAAAGCTGGCCCTCCAGGAGTCATACCACTACCCATGTTGATATCTGGAAAATAAATAAGATTTTTTTTTTCCATGTTCCAAACCAGGCCTGAAAAAGAAAGAAATCAGAAAAAGACACTCACTATGTGGTGACCAAGCGCTGGCATTTCCAATAAACGGAGTCGCTCCTTGATTCCAAGGCGTCATAGCTCCAGGGGTCATACTAGGCGTGGCAGCCGATCCAAAGAACATTCCGGAAGCAGCTTCACCGCCTTGTGCTTGAGGAATGTGCATGCCCATTTTACACTTTTCCGCGTCGAGTAGCAAATCGAAGCAACCAGTGCCCATTCGAGGCATTTGACCCATAATGATGTTTTCAGACACACCTCTCATGGGATCCACTTCTGCGTGAGCAGCTGCGTCTATTAATACGTCCACAGTTTCCTCGAAGGAGCATCTCATAAGAGCTCCAGTGTCTTGTCTGTTGATACCGTGACGTGTGATGGCCATCAAATGACCTTTTGCAGTCATTACGTCACACAATAGGGCCAAATGACGGTAGTTTACGTAGAGACCGTAAAATTGAAGAACGGCGTTCATTTCTTTTTCCACTGATTTACGGACAGCTTCGATACCTAACACCTAAGTTGAAAAAAAAAAAAAAAAAACATTTACCGACGGTAATTTTTAATTTTTACTTAACTCACCGAAAATATCTCACATATATCGTTAGAAGCAGTCCTAACAGCGTCTACGTCTCGTTCAGACAAAACCCTCATCATACTTGTACCATCAGTTTCCAAAAGCCACTCAGCAATACCTTTAAATTCGCCTGTATCAGTAATAATGATTCTTTTCTTTGAATCTGTTTGAGGTAAGTGCATATACACTTTTGAAATAGCTTCAATTCCCTGTAAAGTCATATCACTCAACATATTAGCTTCAATACATCTGAGAAACATATCGTCGTCCATCTTATCGACGTCTTCTTCCCCTTCTCCAAACTTTCCGTCATCGCCATTCATAATTCTGATACGTAGTACCAATTTATCAGCATTATCATCGTTGAAAATACAATTCAAATCATCACCAAAACCAGCATTAATCTTTTCAGCTATTTGTTCCATTGTCAATTTTTTATCAACCATTCTTTTTCTATCCAATTCAATACGCAACAACCAGGGAGAAATTCTTGTTGGATCAAAGTCAGGCATTTCATAATAAACATTAACGAAATCTTGATCTTCACTAATAACAGTATTTTGAGGATCTGGATCGTAATAAATAGCAGTATTAGCTGTAACTTTCCTTAAAGTTGTATGTTCAAGACGACATAGAACATTTTTAGCTTTCTCAGCATCCCGGGCAGCAGCTCCTGTTAAAAACACAGTCAAAGATGGAGCTTTGGGTTTCTTGGAAACGTTAATAATTTCCTTCAAACGTGGCACACCAAGGGTTACGTTCTTTGAAGACACACCAGCAAAATGGAAAGTGTTCAGTGTCATTTGAGTGGCAGGTTCTCCAAGCGATTGGGCAGCTAAAGCTCCAACCATTTCGCCAGGATTTACTTGAGCTTGTTGAAAACGAGTTTCGATTTCTCCCAGCAACCACTCAAAGGCTTCTGTAGTAAGTCTGTACTGTTCTGATACTAGTTTTGCGCATAAAGTCGATCTGACCAAACATTGGAAGAGCAACGTAGCGTTTTCGTTGGCTTGAATAGAAATTCTGTCTTCGCCTACTACAATTACACATTTTCTGAGTAGATCACGTACTCCTTGAATGACTTTTAGTGGTGACAGGTCTGTTGTCGATTTTTTGTTGATGTGGAAGATTTTTTGTACATTCCAAATCATACGTTGCAAGTTGCATGGAAGTACTACACGTGTATCACCGCTAGGGAATATTTGACGTAAGGCTTCTCTATCTTTCTGCAATTGCTCCCACTCCTTTTCAAGTTCCGCTATAACGTCCCCAGAGCTCATAATTTCCTTAATAATATCTTCATTGAAAACTTTTCTCAAATATCTTTCATTACTAGGATCAAATCTATATTTCTTCTCAAAAGATTTAGTGCTTAATTTGATGGTTGGAAGATTTTGGAATTCTACCATTTCACCACAAAGTCCGTCCTCTCCATAACGCAACTGGATAAGTTGTCCAACAGAATTACGTACAGTCCCGTCGTAATTTACCATAACAGACTCCATAGCCTTTATAAGACGACGCTGGATATAACCTGTTTCGGCGGTTTTTACAGCAGTATCAATAAGACCTTCACGGCCTCCCATGGCGTGGAAATAAAATTCAGAAGGCGTCAAACCAGCTAGATATGAATTTTCTACGAAACCTTTTGATTCGGGACCGTAATCGTCTTTGATGAAGTGCGGCAAACTTCTTTTTCTGAAGCCAAATGGAATACGTTTACCTTCAACGTTTTGCTGTCCCACACAAGCAATAACTTGGGAGATGTTAATGTTCGATCCTTTGGATCCCGATACCACCATAGCCTTCAAATTATTATATTCAGTCAAAGATTTCTTGGCGGAACCTCCAGTTTTATCACGAGCGTCATTAAGAATCCTGTTCACTTGATTCTCAAAAGTCTGTCGCAACGTGTTACCGGGTGTGGGCTCCAATTCCATATTATGAGCTTTCTGGATAACTTCTATTACGTCCTCTTTGGCTTTTTTAATGGCTTTCTGGATTTCCAAGTAGGTGTTGGGATCGGCAATAGTATCTCCAATACCGATACTGTGACCTTCAAGTAGCAGCCAATTGTTGATGGTTGTTTGAATGTTACCATAAAACCTTCCGCATACTTCGTGACCTAATTCCAAGAAGCAAATATGCAAGAGGGAGCCTCCTGATGCTCCCAGAGAAGCTTTACAAAGAATTCCCATGATGAGTTCTCCATTTTCTACCATAACTTTAGTGTCTCCAGGCGAAATCCATTTGTAGGGCCCATCATCTTCATCGTCTGGGTGAGTTGAATGGGTTCTTATCATGTTCACGTTTCCAGGGATTATAAGAGAGAATAACTGTTTGCCTGTCCAAAGGGGTTTTGGTTTTAAGATTGCAGGACGTGGCACTCTTCCATCCCAAATAGGCAAAAACATTAGTAAATTCATCATTTGCTCTTTTTCAATAAACACGTCCCTTTTGGTCATTTTACGAACAGCGCATAAAGTATCTTGTACAATACCCATGACAGGTTTGTTACACTGTGGGGTAATAATTTGTCTGGGGGTCATGTGAAGATTTTCCAATTCGGCTCTGGTTTCCATACTTTGCGCTACGTGCAGGTTCATTTCGTCACCGTCAAAATCAGCGTTGTACGGCGATGTGCAAGACAAGTTCATACGGAATGTGGACCAGGGAAGGACTTTGACCCTGTGACCCATCATACTCATTTTGTGCAAGGTAGGTTGACGGTTGAAGATTACCAAGTCACCATCACGAATATGTCTTTCAACTCTGAAATGGATTTTAGAAAATAGTGTAAGTATAAGGGGATAAATGTTCAGATTTGGATTCCGGGATTGAAAACCTGATACGTGACATTTTACGGAAGTTTCATATATAAAAAAAAAAAAACGGGTAAGTATACAAGCCCGGAAAAATAAATAAAAATGTTTAGCCTACTTGTATCCACACTGTAAATGAAGATCGGAAGATTTCGGATGATATCTCAAATCAATTCTTTCACCATTGTCACGGATAATATATTTGGCTCCAGGATATTGAGAATGGCCTCTTTGTACAAGTTCCAACATCCTAAAAATAAATATCGTTGTTGTTGTGTTCAATTTGAGAAAATCCAGGGACATACTTCTCAAAATTGAATGGTGTAACAATTTCTGGGAATGTCATGTTTTGTGCAATACTCCTCGGTACTCCTACTTGATCAATACGTAAATTTGGATCTGGTGTAATGACAGTACGTGCGGAAAAGTCTACACGTTTACCCATAAGGTTACCTCTGATTCTACCTTCTTTTCCTTTTAGACGTGCCTTGATTGATTTAAGAGGTTTACCAGATTTTTGCATAGCTCTGAAATATGTATAATTGATGTTTTTTTTTCTCCATTTATTATCACGGTATCGAAAGTTTTACCTCGGTAACCCAGGCATGTCATTATCGACCAATGTCGCTACATGAAATTGTAACATTTTAACATTTTCAACTAATATGTGTGTTGCAGCGCCTGAAGATTCGTTTTTCTCCAACTCTGCATTAACTTTAATTATATCAGCAAGTTTGTGTGTCAAATCGTCCTGATTTCTGGCAGAACCATTCATTACGACAGCAGGCCGGACCGGAAGAGGTGGCACCGGCAACACTGTGGCAATCATCCAATCGGGTCGAGCGTATTTTGGGTCCATTCCAAGAATAAAACATTCTTCGTCTAAAAACATTCATTTTTGTAAAATCTATTTGGATGGTCGTCTGATATGCCCTTAAAACTTTAGTGGCGTTTCTCGACATCTCGGGCGACATACTTGCAAGAAATGATGATTTAGTTCAAAAGGCACTATCCAGATAAAATGGGACATTTTGATTTAAAGAAAATTATATCGCAAATGAGATGAAGCAGTGAGTTTCATAGTTATCTTGTATGAGAGATAAAAGTAGCATTTAACACACATTTCATCCTTTCTTAGAAGGCTAGAACTTTAACTTGGACTTTTCAGTAAAAATATTCCAGTCTTATAACTTATCCATCGACCCGTCGCCAAACAAATGCGACATTAAAACCGCATTGTCGAAACTGTGGAACGTCGAATTTCCTTTCTCAAAAAGATGTATAATCCTGAGGCAAATAAATATTGTCAAAATGAAACGGAGGCGACTGCGTTATGCCAGTAGAGACCTTGAAAGAATCGAATTTCTATTTCTTTGGAGCATATAAACTCTCTTACAATATTTCTAGGGGTTTCCGTATGTCATTTTCTCCTGCTCCAAGAATTTTGTGGTTTAATCTGGTCCCTCGGATATCTATTGAATCGATATATAGATGAACGGGAGAGTCATCTAACATTGCTATAAACTTTTTAGAAATCAGTATAACGGAAGGTGGATGAAAACCACTATTTTCAGTTTTTTTGTATAAGAAGAAATTGTAAGGATGAGATATTGGTGAACCTCCGCATCTGAAAACTAGTAAATAAAAAGTCAGAATCTTAATAAAACATACAGAATTTACGCCTAGCTAGATATAAAGCTATCACGGAAACAGACCTCCCTCTAAAGTAAAGCAGACACAAGACACAAAGGAAGCAGACAGATGGATATGCGCCAAATACATGGAATTTCTCATTTCCAATATACATGAGCGTGATAAGCAAGAATATAAAGGAAGTTTTACAATATATCATTCCCTGAAGCTATTTGTCGTCGTGTATCAGGAGCCTTCATAGAAAACTTTTAATGCGGTATTTTTGTCAATTCCTCACAGGGACCGCCCGGTAGCTTTAACATTAGGAGCGAACTTATTAAAGTAAAAATGGGAGCATTTTGTAAACACAGTTTCGATAGGAACGTGAGATTCGAAAAATTTGCTCCAAGAGAAGGGTTGTGTTGCCTGCACAAGAAAAGTTTTCAAACAGGAAAGTTATAACTTGTGGACCACCTAAAGATTTTCTTAAAACTTATTTTTGCAATTTATTTTTTTTATGAGTTAACTTTGGCTTTTTCAAAGTATGAAGTTTGTGTTATTACAAACAAATTTTATTAGTGCTTTAAAGTCCTAGATTTTTCATACAAATCAAGAATATTTTTCTGTTCAAACTTTTCCCATACAGGTTCACATATTTGTCAGCACAAAAAATTATTTATAGTGAAAACTATTAAACATCTTATGACGAAATGATTTTCAAAGCAAATTTGCGATAAATATTCACTAACTCACAAAAAGACGAATTAAATGGGGGTTTTGCTGGCTTAGGACCCATCGCAGAGACTAGCCATTCCAGTCGTATGGCGATAGGTGCAGTAACTAGAGCCGCCCCAGGGCATAGGGATTTGATTAATGAATTCTGATATGTCGGTGCCCGAGGATTGTGTTGACAAGACAAGCGGATTTTTGGGGATAAATAGCTTGTTTATTTTTACCTCGGTTTTTACTAAAAAAAAATAATTTTAGGAGAAATTGGCTCAGGTAGGTATACCAATCAACCACAAACTTGCATTTAAATGGAGAAAAATATCTGTTCCTATGGAAAAGTCGTCAATGATCTAGTATAGCCATCATTTTGAAACCTTTCCTTTTCTTCCAAATTGACCATTTGAGAAATATATTTTTAAATTTTGCCAGGTTTCCTACTGAATTGCAAATCATGAGCTTTTCAGTCCTGAATAAGTCAGGTGACCAATGTGTAGCATGGAGAACGTAGAGTGTCACTTTAATTTTTAATTTTCAATCAATTAATTAAACACTTTAAAATCATGATACTTTTCACATTTTTTAGCCGCACATAAATAACAATTCAACTAGAAATGGGTTTGACAATAAATATATACTTACCCCAAATAAAATAGTAAACAAAAATATTGAGGAATTAGAAAGAATAAAGACAAATCCTTTTATTTAAAAATTCAACTTTTAATTGGCACTTACCAGTTATGTGCTTGAAAATTTCCCAAACCCTCTCGGCTGTCAGCGGAATCTTTTTTTCCTGTGAATCCTCATTGACGTGCTTCCATTCGGCTGTCAAATCCAAACCGCTTCGTCGTATCTGTGGCTGATAACGCCCACAACCACCGTGGCTTTGTTTTTTGTTCGGATCATTTTGGTCACCGTCTTTTTTAATGTCCATTTCGTCACCGCCCTCGCAAATATTTTTACCTTTGCAAAGATCATAGACAAAGGCCAATCTTCGACGTGGTTGACCTTTGGATTTCATGACTATTTCACGAATTTTCGGATTTGTCTGTGAAAGAAAATCAAATTCTGGGATCTCGTTCAATGATATATATGAGTGTCCGAGTGATTGTCTCATAAAGTTCTTGCTAGCAAATTCAATAGTTATAATTTTTTTACAATAAGAACTTTGCCGCAAACTTTCCAATTTAGCAGAAAATTATTCATTGCATAATGGTGTGTGCCTGGAGGGATTAGCCAATTTTAAGTTTCTGCATTAATTTAATCTTATTCAAAGAGAAAAGGGGGTAAACAGTTTAATAATTCTCTACTGAGGGATACCCAAGAGACTTGTCCAATTTAAGGGCTGAGATGTGGGGGATAAATCATTAATTTTCATTAAAAGTCGATAAGGAAAATTGTAAAGCGCAAACTTGTTAAAGGGTATACAAATGGTTTCAACCGTTCATTATTTAGAATTTGGAAGCAATAACTAATAATAAATTGGATAAAAAATTAATCAAAAACCTTACCGGATTAACCAGCAACTTGCTGCAATAAAAACATACGCAACGTAGGATTTTTATAATTTTTGTGATATATCCTATGTGAAATACGGGCTTCGCCAGTTCTATGTGTCCAAAGTGTCCCGGGCAATCTGTCATGTTGCCAGCACAAGTTTGACACCTAGACTGGCGATCTATTACACCCTGTCTGGGATCCATGAGGCCGCCCATTTTTGGGCGACCTGCTTCCATCGTCTCTGGATAGCGAATGCCGCCCTCTGTGACTGACATGCGCCTCTAAAAAAAACAACAACAAAAATGAGAATAAATATTTTTTTTTCTGTAAAAGGAAAATTAGGTTTCCATATGCTTGTGCACGCGTCCGGTGGCTAAATTTTAATTTTTTGAGCTCAACACTGACATAATTTTCAGTGGTTAAAAATCCGAGAAAAAGAAGATCAGTCAGCTAAATTCTGTCATTAGCTGATGGTTGAATACTTCAGATTTCAAGCAACAGAAATTATAGTTACAAATTGTTTAGCAGGTTTGAAATAGGTTGTAGGTACAGGGTTATTGGTTATAAATGTCACCCCTCTACCTTTTTTATTTGAAATTTTAGAAAGAAGTGTTCCAAATAAAATTTTTATGGTTGAAATATATTTTTTTTTCAAACTCACTTTCGCATATACCGACAGGGTGTTTCAGAAAAGCTGGTCGTGGTCCAACTTTCTTATTTTGGATTGGATTATGACCTGCATATTACTGAATATTCGGATTCTATGTAAAATTCTAAGCAGATTTCATGTGATATACCCTAAACCTAAGTTCAACTGTTTGGAAATATTGACAGTTAAAAATTGACTTTTTGCAACTTGGACAGGCTGTAAAACCTAAATTTTTAATTTTAGAGCAAAACCGATCTCACATTCTTGTCTCGAATTTTCAAAAATTATCCTTTGATACCAACTTAGGATTTAATTGGAGTTAAATTCAACTGGAATTTTCTGAGAAATTTTTAATCATGGATGAAATGCAAAGTTGGTGCCAAATGATAGTTTATGAAAATCTAAGATAATAATTGAAGACTGGTTTGGCTTTAAAATTAAACGTTTAGGTTTCACAGCCTGTCAAAGTTGCAAAAAAGTCAATTTTCAACTGTACAAATCTCAAAATAATTTTCGAAAATCTTGAGAAGTTACGGAAATTTCCTGTAAATTGTCAGAAATTATGTTAATTTTCAGAAATTATAGGAAATGTTACGAAATTTTGGGAAATGTTAGGAAATTATTCAAAATATTGGAAAATTATTTGAAATTATAGGAAATTTACTGAAATTATAGGAAATTAACACCAGAAATCTTTAAGAATTTTTGTGTTTCGAATATTGTTCAGTTTCTGTTCGGTGTATTGTGAATAGAACTACATAACAGGGTCCTTATTCTTGAAACAGGGGAGCAGCGTTTCCAGGAGAGTGAGTGTTCTGTCTTTGTTACTTATATTATCAGCTGCATAACATTGAGAAAGACGAAACAAACGTTCTCCTAGGAACGCAGCTCCCCTGTTACAAGAATAAGGACCCTGATAACAAAATAAAGGTATGTATAGACACATATTTATCATAAACTAGAAGAATACGGGATATGTATATCAGGATTTTTACCCTTTCAATTTGGCACGCAAAGCTGAAAACATATGTGTTTTTTTTATCTGAATCAAGCCATAATGAAGGTTGATTGGTTGATTTCATGTTTTATGTCAAATAATAATTTTTTGAACTTTTAAATAAGGCATACTTTTGATAGTTTTGAGGATATATCAATCAACACATTAAAAGGTGAGAAGCTGGGATACGATGAAACCGAGGATGAAACCATAGAAGATGAGGTAACTACAGTCGACAAGGCGCTGGAAACTGAGATAGACCTTGATGAAGACGAATATATTACAATAGAAGAAGTGAAAGATCTAAGCATAAAAAATTACCTAAATCATAAAACGAGTTTCTCTTCATCATTTTTGAAAATAAGATCTATGGCGTCATCAAAACTAAGAAAGCGAGTAAGAAAGTCTACACTTTGTTGGTTATTCGAGAAAAAAAAGGTAGCAGCCCAGGTGATCATTTGATGAGGTACAGGGTGAAAAATTAAAACTCCTACTTCCATATCCAGTAATAAACGACTAAGTAAAGAAACCAGGAGAAAATAAAAAGTGAGCAAAAAAAAAAATTAAAAAACTGAAAAAGAAGGGTACCAAAATTGATACGATTTTTGAAAAAAATACGGATTCAAGTGTAGAGCACACTTTGGAAAGCGAATATGGAAACTCTTGTCAAAAGGAAACAACTAAGGAAACCCCAAGAAAAACCCAAAAGGCGATCGTCTTGGAAATCGGAGAAATTGCCATTATAGTTGAAAAGTATTATGTTTGCTATTATAAGGATAAATGGTATATATGTCGTGTGACAGACATTGATAGGGATCATTGCACCATGAAGATCCTTAAAAAAACCTTAAGATCATTTTATATGGCCTAAGAAACCAGACCATCAAAAAGTAAGCTAAAATAGGTAAGTATATAATTTTTGGTCCACTAAATCTTTTTGGCACTGGAACCTTCCAAATTAGCAGAGAGGACGAGTCTTTAATAAAAAAGTGATTCATGACTTCTAAGGACTAGGTATTCAAATTTGATTTCAAATCCATAAATGTAAGGCGAGTACTGTCCGCCCAAGTTAAGAACACCGGTTAAAAGAATGTGAAGAATTTAAGTTCATAGAAAATTAGAAAACATAGTTGTCAAGTACACTCACTACAAAAAAATTAGGCGTTTATTAATTGGTAACAAATAGCATTTATTAGACGTTTAATTTTTTGTAGTGAGTGTACGTGATCATTATGTTTTCTATGAACTAAAACACTTCACATTTTTTCAACCGGTGTTCTTAACTTGGGCGAACAGTATCTAACAGGTATCGCTACAAACACTAAAATGAAAATGCTTATGTTTTTTTCCGACGTTTTTTCCTATATTTAAACTTTTAGTTGTTTCCTGCAATTGTTGGAAATATAATGTATTTTCTACGTTTATGAACAACATCTTGCTTTACTTCTATACCACCCTATTCAGATTCGTTCAATATCAATAAAAACTATATTTTTGCTGTAAAATATTGAATTATGGTCAAGTGGCCACAGAAAAATATAATTTCCAACTGTTCATCCAAACATTTCCACGGACCGTCCATGGTTACTCCAAACTTTGCAAAATCATTTATCGGGGTTAGTTACTTATATGATTTTTTTTAAATATAGAATCGAGTATAGAATATTATCAGGTACAATTTAATAAGAGAAATCACCATTTCTTTATGCCCTCTAGAATGACAATTGAAGATTTACTTAAGCAGTTTAAGGTCTACTTTCAAAGATTGACAAACTGTAGCCAACAGCCAACTTTTGTCATCACCATGTACCTACATATTTCAGCAAAAAAATATTGATTTCTAGAAAACTATGGTGAATATTGTCCAAATGACGAGATGTTCGGAAACTTTGGGGAGAAACTATAAATCTCTCAGAAATCAATTTTTGTTTTGGAAATGTCAGAAATTTCATAAGAAATCAATAATTATTTGGGGAATTTAGGAAATTAATGAAATTATCAATTTTTGTTTCAGAAATTTCATAGGAAATCAGTAATTTTTTAGGGAATTATTCAAGAAGTTACATAGATTATTAAGGAAATTTTAGAAATAATAGGAAATACTTGAAAAAATTCTGAACATTCAGGACATTTCGGAAATTATAGGCAATATCAGAAAAACATTGCCAAAAAGGAAATATGTGTACAAAATTTAAGAGATATACCTATAATCGATTATATCACATGAAATCTGCTCAGAATTTTATGTAGAAAACTAGAATCCGAATATTCAATATTATACACAGGGTATTCGATTTAAAATAAGAAAGTTGCACCAGGACCAGCTTTTCTGAAACACCCTGTATACCCCAAAGGGAGTTTTGTTTAAAAAGAATAATTTCAACCATAAAACTTTTATTTGGGACACTTCTTTCTAAAATGTCGAATGAAAAAGGTAGAGGGGGTAACCAATAACCCTGTACCTAAAATTAAAACAGTTTGAGGGGAAGCAACAGTAAAATACGGGGTAAAATAGTATACCTCAACTTAATCATCCAAAAGGTCTTTGACATTAATTTTTGATTATTTGGTAATAAGTATATTCCTGCTAAGGTTTATTCTCTAAGGCACAGTTGGTTCAAAACAAAGTTCAACTGAACTCAACTGGTACTTAAGCTTTCCCATTTAAAATACATTGCTGTCAGCTATTAATCAAATTCTATCAATTTTGACAGCAATGCATTTCAAATGGGGAAGTTCAAGTACCAGTCAAGTTTAGCTGAACTCTGCTTTGAACCAAGATTGTACAACTGGGCCTTAGTAGGTAATTGAGTTCAAAATAAGTTTGAAACAATAGCTATAATAAACTAGATAGGATCTATTTTGCCAAGTGTTTTCAAACCTTGGTTGAAACAAACTATGATGCACAGAGTAATTAAATGTTTTTCAAGTTAAACTAGCTCCTGTTCAAGAGCCAACAGCTGTTTTCCAAAAATATAAAAATGTATCAACTGATTTGAGATTTTCTTGAGCTTTTGGTTTAAAACTGAGTTTAAAATTAATCAAACACCCAAGTCACTTCTGCTCTGCAAAAATTATTCGATAGAAGGTATTACTATAACAAGTCCAATTGATTTTGTCTGTATTTAGTACAAAATACTTTTAAAAAAAATAGTGGTAAAACTAGAATCTGAACCACTGAATATACAAAGTGAACAATCCAGAAGAATTGAGCTAGGAAACAAGTAAGATTAGTTGAAGTTTGCTAGGGAGTCTTAAAATTTCCAAATAAACAAACTATTTTAGTTTTTGAATCGTTGTAAATACTTCTTCTTGTAAATACTCTTCAAGTATTAGTAGCATTTAACAGTTGATTGGAATTCGAGTAGCATTACCAGTTAAATTAAGTCGAGAATTAAGTATACCTACAAAAATAATAGTATGTAGGTATAGGATAAAGCTCGGGATAAAGGTAAAAGAAAAAAAAAATATTTTAGCTCCAATTTTTAATGGAAAAATGCTTGGGAAAATGTGAGGGAAAATGGTACTTAGGTGAAGCTTTAATGATGTTGGCATCTAATTGATCAAAGCGAAATTTTATATTTGTTGATACTAAGTACCTCATCTAAAGTTTATATGGTACTTAGTGAATTAGGTATCCAACAAACAAAGTTGTAACTGCATTTTCAGAAAATGGCATCCACATTAAGTATGCTAAGTTTTCGCCCAAGTTGTCACCTGTAGGAATCAATAAAATAGGTTGAAATAAATATCGTGAAAATGTCTCGGAAAATGTTTAATAACATAAAGTCGATTAAAAACCTCATTAAAAACCAATTTTTTTTTTCAGAGAGAATCCATGTTTGGAGGAGTGAAGTAGGTAGTTAACTAATTTAGGTATTTCTGAATGTGCACAAATATAATTTTTTCACTGTTGTTAAAGGAAACCAAAAAATTAAATTAGAAAGATTGCAAAATCAAGTGCTTGATAAAATTCACCCTTGAAATCAAATTTGGGTAGATATCTAAAAAGAAAATTGTGTGAAATCGATCGATTAACTATATAAAATTGGTTTATTAAAATCTTTTTGGAAACCGAGTTGGAAACATTAGATTTTTTAAAAATATGGATCTGGTTTTGAAAGTTTTTTTTCCCACTACTAAGTAGGCAATTAATTACAATAAAGCTACAAGAAATACCACACTTATTCAAAGTTAGAAACAGATATTCTAGCAATGGTAGTGACATCAACACGAGCATCAACATCAAAACTACCAAAATCAAAGCAGTTTTGATTTTTTCTAAATTACTTTTATACTTTTTCATCGATATTCAATAATAAAGTCCACCATGTCAACTAAGCATTACCTACAATTAAAAAAATAATAATAGAGCTACAGATTTCTTTGTTTCACAACTCCCAATCCACCCAACTCACTCAATGGAAACTGTATTGTTTGCACCAAAAACTCGACTAAAAATTGGACCAGCAATTTTTTTTGTCTGGCAACAAATTAACTACTAATTATAATTATGTAGCATTAATGTTTCTACTAAAGCCATTGGAAATGCAAAGACTACCCAATGCTAACTTGATGATGGCTGCCTTGCAGCATATATTATCGACTTGGATAACAAAATGAGTCTTCTTGAAAAGTTTTTACCTACTAGTTCCCATTAGAGAAATGTACTTTGCTAATTAATATAATATTAGCTTGGATGGCTGTCGTTGGGTGCATATTGAATACTTTCAGCTTTTCAGTAAGTTCATTTATTATTAGGTACCTTCTGCAAGTCTAAAACGCATTATTTTAGTAGACATAAAAATACCTATACAGCAATCCTGAAAATGCTAAGCTAGTTGAGCTCATGCTGATTTAAATCCATGAGAAGAAACAAAAATCATTCCATGAGAAGCCTTATTTAATGATAAAAACAGAAGCAATGCATTATTCTGTTGATTTTTGCCTATTTTGGATTTTTTTAATCAGTAAATATTAAATAATCTTGAACCTTGTTGCTAAAACTGATGCCTTACCCATTTGATGCAATTTCCAATATTATGCAATTAATTTTAAAAAGAATTACAGAAAGTAGATTTGCCATGAAACAAAATACACCTATAGGAAAATACATAATAAAGAAAAAAAGGAACTGTAGATTTTTATTTGGGATTCAACATTGGATTCAATCAACAAAATTTTAGGCTCGAATTGAGGTTATATTTTTATAAATCTTGCTTGAATTTAATTATTTCCTGCCCTTGAGATATTTCAATAAACTAATTTTGAGAACAATAAAACATTCGAGCATGTTTTCAAAACAAGGGTAGACAAAATAAAGCATAATATAATATTTCACAAGGCACTATTTGTTTACACTTTTGGATACCAGGAAATAAATTACACTCACTATTTCATCGGGGGCCAAGATTCCGAACTGTACCCTTTTTACAGTCCTCAATGGGGCCTTGGAGTCACCCGTGAACGCCATTCTGGCGTTTTTAACGCAAAAAAACTAGAAAAAACGATGGATATTCTAGGAGCGAATTTCGTAAATATGGCTGACAAAAGGTGACAACGCAAACTGCTTGTTCGTTCGCTGCAATCGCTGTACAGCGGCTGCTTCGTCGCCCTCCTCGACAAGTCGTGACGGGAACGAATCCGCGGTTGAAGGCTGACGCCGATTGGCTTGAGCGATCCAGGGTGGGACTCAGGATGAGCAAGCGCTCGCTGCGGAATCAATATACTACACCATTTCCAACAGTATTTTAGAAAACTTCAATTGTATTTTAGAATAGTCATTTGTATTTAAGAAATCCCCCATGAATTTTGTATGTTTTAAATACAGAAATTACTATTCTAAAATACAATTAATGTATTCCTTTTATACATCGAGTTACACGTGTCGCTCTAGAGCTTCTCAGAGTCACTCCAAAACACACAATTCAGATATTATCGTTATTCTTTGATATTTAACATGACCTGAAAGGGGTTCTTGCACCCACCGCAAATTTGGTGCATCAGGGGAAAGCGAGATGCACTATGAGCGACTCTGTTGCCCAACGCACTTTTAAAAGAAACGCTTAAGCTTTTGACATTGAGCAGCTCCGAGTAACTCAACAAGTAAAAGGAACACAATAGGTTTCTAAAATACTACATAGTAATGTAGATTCTTGGTAGTGGTCCTTTAATTCTTGTCCAAAAGTTTGTTTGTTTGTGTTGTTCGGGGCAGCACTTCCTGCTTTGGGGCGTTCGTTTGTGAGCGTTTTATTTGCCATAATCTGAAATATTTACAGCTTAGTTCAAAGTGCCACACAAACAAACAAACCTTGTGTATTTGTCTGACTGCGAACTTATTCGTAGCAATCGTAGCGCTTTCGTAATTTGCATCACAGGAAATTGTTCTTATTTTTTCTTGCTATAAGTACAAATCGCTATTTTGTATAATTTTCGATAAAAATTTCATGCACCGTGCGGCACTTCTTGCTCCGAGTGCAATCAGTTCCGCACTTATCCTTGCTCTGGGTTGTCGTGCCGCTCGGACTCCGGTGTAATGGAGTATTGTTGTTTTGATATTTTGGGCTTAACCGCTTAACACATTTGGAACGTTCCTTTCAAAAATAGTTGTATTCCTTTCACTCCTAGGAGGACCTCCGGAACAGCTCCGGGGCTTTATGCGCCTATTCCTTTCGTAAAGTGTTTGTTGTACCCAATGAACTGTTGTACCGTACCACGCATCTGTTCCTTGGCAATCGGGGACGACTAACACCGGAGCGAGTAGCTCGAGTGTTCTAAACTCTTGAAAGGAATACAACCAATGCGTTAATAAAGAACTCGAGTCACTTATAATGCACTCCCCTTTTCCCGGGTTGCGGGGGGTGCAAGAACCTCTTTTAGGTTATATTAATTAATAACAATACAAATACTCTAATTTATTTTTCAGCACAAGTAAAAGTACCTACCATCGTCACCAAAAGTATCTGGGACAAAAATAATTCATAATAATCTCCTGGACTATTTCTACCATCATGACCATCATTCATTTTATTCATAGTTTGACAAATATTTGACACTAAAAGGCATTTAATAGTGCAAGAGCTAATATGTCGCTGTCCCAGTTGTGATGTGTCAGTGTCAATCACGTGTCAATTGTGTCATATTCCTCTAACTCCAACACCATCAAATTCTGGGCCTGCGAGTGACGTCACTATCAGCAGCTTATAGTGATGACGTCACCCGCAGACCTCGATGAAATGCTTGCAATTCAGGCTGTGCTAGTGAGTTAAATTTTTAGTCGATTATAAATGTAGAGAAGGTGATTTCCGTTCTGTTCTCACAGAAGAAATTAAGTGTTCTTGATCCTCGGACCACGAGTATCTCAGAATTCGACGGTGGGGAGTTAGGGGAGTATGTCACAAATAAAACATCACATAATCCAGTGTAAGATTATGCTTGGTTATTCTCGCAAAAATTGCCTATTATCTGGTTAATTTTTAAGCACGAGTGGTATTTAAGGGGAATATTTCACGAATTTCATAAAAATTGTAAAATTAAATTAAATTTAAAGTATGTAATTTGTTAATGACATATGTGGCCTCTAAATAACTGTTTTTCTACAACATGCATAAAAAGCGACATTTTGCGATTTGTTTTGATAATGACAACGCAAAGTTGAACTTTTTTGATTACTCAATCGACAAAAGTCAACAACTTTAATTGTCGATTGCTGCCATGGAAGACAAGCGTAAACTTTACCGATAGATTGCAGAATGTGTAGAAGAAATAATAATGTGTTTAATTCGAGCGCAAGGCTATACTGTCGCTCTCGCGAGATAGCCGCGCTACTCGCGTCGCGTGTGAAACTTCTCGCTCAGAGCGACAATAGGCAATTTTTCGCTAGGATAATCAAGCATAATCCCATCAAATTTTGGACCTGCGAGTCAAGGAAAACGGATAATACATACCTACTATAAGGATTGCTATCGGCCTCGTTTTTGGTAATCGCCGCCATATTGGTATGTCATCCTTTCCGATGTCATAGCTAATGGCCGTTTGCACCGACCATTTTAAGGGAGGCTTAACGATAATCAACTTTTAAAGTGCCATTTTTTCATGTAAAAATCTCACTTTAAACGTTGATTATCATTAAACATCCCTTAAAAATCTTAAAATAGTCGGTGCAAAAGGCCATATAAGTCGTCAACGTATTGACTTGTGTAAGCACACTGTGTATAAAGCAATAAAGAATTTGAATTTGAATTGAGTTTGAATTTGAATTATTTGAACTAGCTAGCGGTCGGAGTTTAGAATTTGAATTTACGATGATTGAAAAATATTATTTAATTTTGAATAAAGAATTTGAATTTGAATTGAATTTGAATTTGAATTATTTGAACTAGCTAGCGGTCGGAGTTTAGAATTTGAATTTACGATGATTGAAAAATATTATTTAATTTTGATAAACATAATAGACAAAGAGGAAGATGAAAACGAGATCTAAAAAAGAGTTGTTTTAGAAAGTTAATTAATGTAGCAAAACCAAGTGTGCATAAAGCAAAAGTCCGCATAATCATAACCTGTGGTCCAAACAGCCTACGTCAAGGCGAAAAAGGACATGCTGCTACGTCACAACTGGTGATTTGAATTGGTGGGGGCTTCAGACTTGTTCCACACAGGCCTTATGAGGATAGGCTATCCTGTAGAAGTAGTGTGTATTATCGTTGCTGCAAGTGACGTCACTATCAGCAGCTTTTAGTGATGACATCACCAGCAGACCTCGATGGAATGGCCGCGTTCAGGCTGTGCTAGTGAGTTAATTTTTTCGTCGATTTTAAATTTAGAAAAGGTGATTTTTGGTCTTTTCTCACAGAAGTAATTAAGTGTTCTTGATCGTCGAGTATCCCAGAATTTGATGCTGGCGGGGAGTTAGGGGAGTTTGAAACAATTAATTGACACATCACATAATCCAGCATAATCGATTATGCTTGACTATCTGACCAATCTACCAACACATTATTCTCGCGAAAAATTGCATAATGTATCCCTTTGCGGCCTTTGCGCTCTTAATACACAAATAGCCATTTTGGATTTTACTCTGTTTTTTGGCTCAGTTGTCACTATATTTTCGTCGAGTCCATCTTCTTTAACTTTCGGCGTGCCGAATAGGCAGGTTCGAATTTTTTTTATTTTAACTGAAATCGAGAGATTTTGTTATTAAAAAACGATTAAAAAATATTTGAGCGCAAAATATTAATATTTGCGTCTGTTGCAAGCAGTTAAAAATCAACGATCGGCGCAGAATAAAAAACGTACCTGTGCGAGAGACTAGGCCGCGTGACATCAGTAGCCGGCACGCCATGTGAATTCGTATACTGTCCGTATGAGCCTTTACGAAAACGCTGATCCGATGACAAGCTGTCTGCTTTCCATCTTTCTTCAATGAACACGATTGAAAAAAGACAAATTACATAAGGTGGTGATTGGGTTAATCGGATCAGCGTTTGCGTAAAGGCCGATACAGAGGGTATATGAATTTACCCGGCTACTGACGTCATGCAGCCTAGTCTCGCGTAGAGGTACGTTTTTTATCCTAGCGCCGATCGTTGATTTTTAACTGCTCGCAACAAACGCAAATATTAATATTTTGCGCTCAAATTTTTTTTTATCGTTTTCTAATAATAAAATCTCTCGATTTCAGTTTAAATAAATGAATAACAAAAAATGTCGAAGCTTCCTATTTACAACAAACATTTTATTTTTTTAGGTTGTCGAAATACTCGAAATGATGTTTAAACGGCTATATATAGGTAGGTATACAGTAAGGGGCAGGCTACTAGGTATACATAACATATAGGATCCAACTTGACGAATTTACGATCGTCCGCAGCCGTTTGAACACCTGTCGCTGTCGGTCCGCTGTCGTTTTTTCGACGACTTTGACGTTCGTTGAGTTTGTTCATAAACCATGGTTCACATCAGTACGTATTATGATTTTACAGACTTAAGCCCGGTCCAGACGCGACGTTACTGATACCTGATCACGTGTTGAACTGTGCAGACAAAACGTTATGCAAAACGTCGCATCCAGACCGTGCTTTTAGATGTATCGTCGAGCTTCACTTACTTATAAATAAAAGGCGTGTATTTAGATAGATTTTTTTTCAAAGTAGCAAATGTTCAAACAGTCCCAGTCCACCTTCTTGAACTAAACAATGACCTAAACGATCATAGAAGACTCTACGAACATTATTTAGAATCACAGGGGTGACAGTTAGATGTATTTCTCAAATTTTGAAACGCCGCTGGTCAAGGTTCACGGCGCGATTGTCCTGAAAACCATTTGCAATAACCCCAGAGAAAATAATCGTTGGGTGCAAGATCGGGAGAGCGTTACAGTATTGTAACTCTCGACCCAGCAATGAGACGGTTTGGCAAAGTATTATTCAAATGGTCCAGAATCAAACCCAACTGTGTAAATTCTCCTTAGAGCAATAACGGGTATGACTCGGATTATGTCGACCATGGAGTTGAAATGTCGACTTATCTGTAAAGACAATTTTTCTAAGAAAATCTTCATTTTCATTTGCCTCATTAATGACAGTTTCACAATACTCCAATCGCCTGATGTTGT